AACGACTCCAGCCGATTCCTGCCGTGGCAGTGGGTCTTTCGGTCTCATGACCTGGAGCCTGATGGTTGCTTCTGGCCTGTGCGCAAGTCCAACTCCAAGTGGGATGAGCAGACCGCTAACCGCTTCCGATACCTTCTTCACGTAAGGAGGAGCTCGCCAAACTTTTGGTCCAGTTGGATGTGCCTTCTTCTCTCGTTGGCAGTGAACGCATCTTCTTCTTCTGAACCGCTTCCTGGAACTCGCATATTATTTTCTATTGGCAAACTCACTTTTGTGTGACGACGAACTGGTGAACCAGACTTGAAAATTCACACAATAAACCTTATTTCTTCCCAAAGGACTTCATCGTTGACAATATATGCCGCTTAGGATGTCAATATTTCAATACACACGAACAAAAGAGTCTGCCTTATCAAACAACGAAAGCAGGAAAAGACCCCATCAGGCTCTCTTTAAGGCGCGTCCACTGTCCCAACGATCGCCGATTGTCGGGCGGGGCAAAGACTTTGACTGTTTTGGATAAGTTAGTCAGTTTTTTGCCCCAGAAGGAACGAACTTCGCAGCAACCAAAATGCTGCCCCTGAAGGCAGCCGCCGCGTGGCTTTTACGTAAGCTCATCATGGGAGAAACAGTCTTCAAAAAACCGTTCGACGCCTTTTGTTGTCCCTGCCAGTCTGCTGGCTCCCAGAGATAGCATGTCTTATCTGAAAATAAGTTTTCGAAATTCGCTGCACCACCGACCACAATTATTCGTCCGCCTGGCAGTGCAACCACGGCCGTGCCTGTTCTTTTTATTTTTAAATTTGGCCGTGAGTACTATCCACAGGAAAAGAAAAAAATCATCGAAACGGATAACACAGTGAAGCAAATACAGGAATATCCTCCTAATGGAATTTGAGTCGGTATATTAAGGTAACTGTCGAATCAAGCGCAAAAATAAACAGTATTAACCAAGTTTGGCAATCAGTTCTATAAACACAAATAGGCTAGTTGTGCCGCAGGCAACGTTTAACTGCAGTAGATTTACGAACGATCTTTTGAGCACGCTTGAGGAGGGACAATCTGGTGCTGTGAGGATACCCCATCGCGGTAAACCTAACAGACAACTTGTATGTCAGTTGCTGCGATTAAACGCCTGATTTCAAAGTTACGTCACGAAATTGCTCAACAACCGCCTGAGCTTAGCCACACCCATCAGTCTTCACACCAACTCCGCAACCCTCATCATGGCATGCGCTCGCGATATTACATAAACCATTTTAATTGAAAAGCCAGTCTGAGCACCGAACTAGTTACAAGTAGGGTGGATCTGATTGGTGATCTAACGGATATTAACAGGGGTTGCGTGCAGTCAAGGTCGCCACATGATCGAAGTAGCAAGAGATTAAAAAATGCAGTCGCTACAGCCAATGCACAAGTAAACCAAGTACAAATTACACCACTGGTACGGTAATCTGCGAAAGTTAGGGCGGTAATTATGCATTTTATGGTCACCTAAATAGGGCACAGAAGTAAAATCTCCTGTCACACTTCTGGCGTTGTGCTACAGTACAGAAATAGCCGGTTTAGGATTAATTTTTGGGCCAATCTAGCAAATCCAGAGGTACGCTGCCTATGAAAATTCAACCGGTAGATTGGGCTACGGGTTAAGGGTGATGTTTACGTTTAGGGTAAAGGTCAGAGTTCGGATTGATTTAACAATCTTTTTAAGGGTTAAGATTAGGCTTCTTGTTAACTGTAGTGTTGAGGACAGGGTGGGCCTAGAGTTACTATTCCAACAATAATGTAGCCTCATGTCCGGTTTTATGCCGGTGTGTCTAGCATAGTTAAGAGTGCATGAGAAACAGCGATTTCTATGTCTGAGGAGCATAATCGTATACGTTTCTGCCGCTTTTCCCCAGATGAATAGACCACTTCATTAACAAAAATGCTGTCCCTGAATTCCACCGCCGCGTCGACTGCAAGTGGGCTAATTATGGGTGAAACACTTTCCCAAAGCCGTCCGACGCTTTTTGTAGTCCTTGCCCATCTGCTGGCTCCCGGAGATGTCATGTCTCCACTGAGGATAGCTCCTTGCCATCTGCTTCACCACCGATCACAAACACGCGTCCGCCTGGCAGTGAAACCGCG